AAAAAAAAAAAAAAAAAAAAAAATATAGTGGCATCTGTGGGTTCCACATCTGTGTATTCAACTAACTTCAGATCAAAAATATTCAGGAAAAAAAATGGATAGTGGCATCTGTGATGATCATGTACTGAGTTTTCTTGTCATTATTCCCTAAATAATATATTATAACAACTATTCATATAGCAATTACATTGTATTCGGTATTACAAGAAATCTGGAGATGATTTAAAGTACACAGGAGGCTACGCTAGGCGTAGGTTACATGCAAACACTACACCATTTTATATAAGGAATTTGAGCACGCATGGATTTTGTTATCCATAGGAGGTGGGTGGAAAGGTCTTGGAATCAATCCCCCTGAGGCTACTGAGGGACAACAATGACAATTTTGTCATTGGTTCTATTGCAAAAATACCTTTTCTTTTTAAAAATTAAGAAAGATGTAAATGTATCACAGAGAAGCTCAAAATCCTCAATGATCACATCCTTTAGAAATAATTACTTTTAATTTATTGGTATGTAATTTATTAGGATTTTTTCTGTAATTAGTGATAAAATATATATATACACATATACATTCAGAAATGGGAATCGTTTGAACTGAGGAGGTGGAGGTTGCAGAGATGAGATAGCACCAATTGCACTCCAGCCTGGGAAACAGAGCCAGACGCTGTCCCAATTAAAGAGAAAAAAAAGTGCCCATCTCTCCAGTACATTACTCTCTGTTCACATCAACTTCTTTTTTTTTCTGAGACAGAGTCTCACTTTGGAGTGCAGTGGAGCAATCTTGGCTCACTGCAACCTCGGCCTCCTGGGTTCAAGCGATTCCCCTGTCTCCGCCTCCCGAGTAGCTGGGATTACAGGTGTGCGCCATCACGCCCTGCTCATTTTTGTATTTTTAGTAGAGACGGGATTTCACCATGTTGGCCAGGCTGGTCCTGAATTACTGACCTCAGGTAATCTGTCCACCTCGGCCTCCCAAAGCGCAGGAATTACAGACATGAGCCACCATCCCCGGCCCACATCAACTTCTAATTTACCTCTTGGCACTTATATCTGTGCTTACCCACATTTTTGTTTACTTGTTTGCTACTCGTCTTCTACTAGAGGGTACTTTACATAAGGACAAGGACTTCAGAACCTTTTTTTTTGAGACAGAGTGTCACTCCGTAGCCCAGGCTGGAGTGCCCCGGTGAGATCTCAGCTCACCGCGACCTCTGCCTCCTGGGTTCCAGCGATTTCCCTGCCTTAGCCTCCTAAGTCACTGGGTTTACAGGCTCACGCCACCACACCCGGCTAATTTTTGTATTTTTAGTAGAGACGGGGTTTTACCATGTTGGTCAGGCTACTCTCGAACTGCTGACCTCGTGATTCCCCCACCTCAGCCTCCCCACTTCTTCTTAGATAAAGCAAGCAAGTCAGGGCTGCAGGGCTTGATGAGGGCAGCTGACTGCATGCGTGCCTGTGTGAGAAGGTGGGGTACTGAGGTTGACTAAGAGAGAAAAATATGTAAGCAGTAAGACTAGATTAGACTACCCTCTTCCAAAAAAGGATATTATGATTCAGATCTTCTTGAAGAAAAGGCTTATCCCAAGTTTATCCCAGTTTTAGTGAGAGCTCAGGACTCAACTAAAACAAATCTCTGTTGTGTCCTCTCTATATTAACAAAACTAAAAATCAACCTGCCCTCAAGGATTCTGCCATACCTCTGGCTAGGGAAAGTTTACAGGCTATTGTAGGTTACTCTCGGGTCTTGCTTCTTCTATGGTGATCCTCCCATGTCACAGAATATTCTCAAAGAAAGGGAAATGAACTAAAGCTACATCTGAAAGGAGCTTAGAAATCATGCAATTCACTTTCCTCTTTCCATTTGGATATAGAACTGGTCCCAGAGAAGATGACTGGCTTCAGGATAGTCCCAAGCACCCCCAACCACCATCCTTGACATTTGTCCAAAGCCCATGAAATGCTCATTCTCCTGCCAGCACTCTTTATTTTGGGCAGGTGATATGCTCATGGCACTCTACTTACCATCCAAAAGCCAGTTATACTGGGTGAGATTTTTCAGTTCATGAAGGGCCAGCCGAGTCATGACATCATCTGGGATCAGTTTCCCTTGGTCAATGAAAGCCTTGGCTAACACGCCAATTTCTACAGCAGAGGGGGGAAAATCAGTAAGTGCATTTGTTTTATCCCATTCCAGGCACCTCGGAACGAGTTACCTAAAGGGGAAGTCTGAATGGCATACTCATATGAAAATGTGCATCATCAATTTTTCTGATAAAAACAAAGGTTACGGCTGGGCACGGTGGCTCATGCCTGTAAGCACTTTGGGAGGCTGAGGCAGGTGGGTCACCTGAGGTCAGGAGTTCAAGACTTGCCTGGCCAACATGCTGAAACCCTGTCCCTACAGAAATACAAAAATTAACTGGGCATGATGGCGGGTGCCTGTAATCCCAATTACTTGGGAGGCTAAGGCGGGGGAAATGCTTGAACCCTAGAGGCAGAGGTCACAGTGAGCAGAGATCATGCCATTGAACTTCAGCCTGAGCAACAGAGCAAGACTCCATCTCAAAAACAAAAACAACAAAGAAACAAAAAACAAAGGTTACAAAATAATCTAAACTTCATATTCTTCATTATGGAAAAATACATAAATGTAAATATACAGACAGAAAAAAATACTGCAAAGGTATACACCAATAAGTTATAGTCATCTCTGTGTGATAGTTTTATAAGTGTTTAAATATATATATATGTATTTTTCTGTATTTTCTACCAGAAAAAAATATGAAATAGCTAAAATTATTTTCCTTTAAAATAATTTTTAAAATACAATAAAATAAGAATTTGAAATTATCATTATTTTGAAATGATTCCATTTAAATGCCTGCTATCCTGTTATTGTAGAGACTTTTCCAATCCTGTAAAACAGGTGCTGCTATCATGAGACAATTCAATTTTTAACCAGATTAGCATTACGATTTTATTATATTTTTATTAACAAAACAACTCTGGAAAAGGGTTTACGAACAATTTAATAATATTACCTACAACTATGTGTCACTCTTATGCAACAGTATTTGAATTTCCTCATGTTCCTTTCCCAAATTATTGTTATACATTCAGAACTGTAATACTATTGTAATCTGCATACCTACAATTTTGTGTTCTTTTTGTCACTTAGTATTATTTAATAAATACATACAGTCCACCATAAATATCTACATAAGATATTAAGAAATAAATATATAAAAATACACTTTATTACAACAGTACTGCTGGACATTTAAATTGTATAAATTTGTCTTGATTTTTCCTCCTTACTGAAGACTCTTTTTTTTTGACTTTGCTTTTTTTTATTTCTCTTTGGAATTGTTTCCAATGAATAAATTCCCAGATGTCAGATTAAAGGATCAAGGTATATATAAACATTTTCCTAAGACTTTGGAATGAATTACCATACTGACCTCGAAACAGATTCCAAATTGTCAAATTCATGAAACTTTAGATTTTTAACCAAGAACAGTAACTGCATGGACACGGGCTGTCATGTGGCAAGTGTGCTGCTGGATTTGCAGACTGCTCTTATAAGAGGGCTTGGCGGATATAGAGCTCAGGACTCACTAAAACAGCCTTATATTTAATGTGTGAAGCTCTGTGTCTCCAGGCTTTTGACCACTGCTCTGGGGAGGAGAGCTTCAACCTCATCAACAGCATTTGGAAAAAAAACTGTAAAAACGTGCAATTCTCTAGAGCCAAGTCCCAAAAAAAAATTGTTATTGGCCCTTCCCCTTACCTCTCACTCATCAGGCCAAGCCCTCTTCTAAATCCCCAACCAGCTGCAACAGATGGGTTAAAAGATGGGGTTAATTAATAAAGTACTTAATTGCATCTGTATATGAATAGCCTTAAGAAAAGTTTCTCTGCCCTTGCCGCTTCTATATAATATTAGAGATTCTAGCCAAGGCAATTAGTCCAGAAAAAGAAATAAAAAGCATCCAGAAAAAAAGAAGTAAAACTGTGTCTACTTGCAGACGGCATTATCTTGTACATAGAAAATCCTAAGGAATCCACTAAAAAACTATTGGAACTAATAAATGAGTCCATTTGGCTGGGTACGATGGCTCATGCGTGTAATCCCCAGCACTCTGGGAGGCTGAGGCGGGTGAATCACTTGAGGACAGGAGTTTGAGACCAGCCTGGCCAACTGGTAAAACTGTGTCTCTACTAAAAATACAAAAATTAGCCAGGCATGGTGGCACGTATCTGTAACCCCAGCTACTAGGGAGGCTGAGGTAGGAGAATCGCTTGAACCCGCCCAGGAGGCGGAGGTTGCAGTGAACCGAGATCACGCCACGGCACTCCAGACTGGGTGACAGAGCAAGACTCTGTCACAAAAATAAAAAATAAAAAAAATGAGTCCAGCAATGTTGCCAAGTACAGGATCAATATACAAAAATCTAGTAAATAAAAATCTGAAGATGAAACTAAGAAAATGATTCCATTTATTTTATTTTATTATTTTTTGAGATAGGGTCTTGCTTTGTCACCCAGGCTGGAATTCAGTAGCATGAACACGGCTCACTGCAGCCTTGATTTCTCAGTCTCAAGCGATCCTCCTACCTCAGCCTCCAGATTAGGTGGAACTACAGGGGTGTGCTGTGCCTGGCTAATTTTTGTATTTTTTGTAGAGACAGTGTTTTGCCATGTTGCCCAGGCTGGTCTTGAATTCCTGGGCTCAAGTGATCCCCCTTACTCAGCCTCCCAAAGTGCTGAGATTACAGCCATAAGCAACCACGCCCAGCCTCCATTTATAGTTGCATAAAAAGAATAAGAAAATTGGCTGGGCGTGGCAGCTCACACCTGTAATCCAAGCACTCTGGAGGCCAAGGTGGGTGGATCACCTGAGGTCGGGAGTTCAAGACCAGCCTGACCAACATGGTGAAACCCCATCTTTTTTAAAAAAAAAAAAAAAAAAGAATAAGAAAATTAGCAATACATTTTTTTAAAAAGAAGTACATAACTTTTCATCTGAAAACTACAGTATTGTTAAAACAAAGAAGATCTAACTAAATGAAAAGACATCTTATATTCATACCTTTTAAGAGTTGTTTTTATTTTTTGAGACAGGATTTCATTCTCTCACCTAGGCAGGAGTGCAGTGACTTGATCATAGCTCACTGCAATCTTGATCTCCTGGGCTCAGCCAATCCTCTCACCTTAGCCTTCCAAATAGCTGGAACTACAGGCACAAACCACCAAGCCTGGTTAATTTTTATCTGTAGAGATGTGGTCTTGCTATATTACCCAGGCTGGTCTCGAACTCCTGGGCTCAAGCTATCCTCCCATCTCAGCCTCCCAAAGTGTTGAGATTACAAGTGTGAGCTACCGCACCTGGCCTAAGAGTTAATACTGTTAAGATGGCTATACTCTCTGAAAATGATCTACAGATTCAATGCAATCTTATCAAAATCTTCACTGGTGTCTTTGCAGAAACTGACAAGCAGATCATAAAAATCATGGAAATGCTAGGACCCAAAACAGTCAAAACAATCTTGAAAAAAAAAACACAAAGTTGGAAGATGCACATTTTGTATTTCAAAACTGCAATCCAGACTATGAAGTACTAGTATAAGAATATACACATAGGGCTGGGCGCAGTGGCTCACGCCTGTAATCCCAGCACTTTGGGAAGCTGAGGCGGGCAGATCACCTGAGGTCCGGAGTTCAAGACCAGCCTGCCCAACATGGTGAAACCCCCTCTCTACTAAAAATAAAAAAAATTAGCCAGGCTTGGTGGCACACACCTGTAATCCCAGCTACTCAGGAAGCTGAGACAGGAGAATCGCTTGAACCTGGGATGTGGAGGTTGCAGTGAGCCAAGATCATGCCACTGCACTCCAGCCTGGGCAAGAGAGCAAGACTCCATCTCTAAAAAATAATAATAAATAAATAAATACATAAAAAGAATTCTTACAACTCAACAGTTAAAAAAAAGCAATTTCTCAGACTGAGCAACCACACATCAACCTCACAATTTCTACCATAGTTGAACTACTATTCACTATAGTGTTTTCTTTACTATATAGTTCTTTATAGGGACTTAGCTTTAAAAATTAATAGCTACAATTTTCATGAAATACAGCTTTGGTGCGCTAGTTTTGTGTCTATTTGGTTGTTTCAAATCTACTTTGAAATAAATAGATTAAAAAGTTTTTTCCTACCTAAAATATCTATTCATGTCTATCTCATGAATCTCAATGTGGGAAATACTGCATAGAGAAAAGCGTATTTAATTAGCACACAAGGAAATCTATGTTTTCACCCTAATCCCCCAATAAATGCTGTTTACTATCGAGCAAGTTCTTTAACCTCTCCTGAACTCAGTCTCCACATTTTTAAAAGAGAGGCCTGATTTTGGGAGGCTGAGGCAGGTGGATCACCTGAGGTCAGGAGTTCGAGACCAGCCTGCCAACATGGTGAAACCCAGTCTCTACTAAAAATACAAAAATTAACCAGCCACAGTGGTGTAGTCCCAGCTACTTGAGTTGGGAGGCTGAAGCAAGAGAATCGCTTGAACCCAGGAGCTGGAGGTTGCAGTGAGCCGAGAAGGCACCACTGCACTCTAGCCTAAGGCAACAGAGTGGGACTCCATCTCCAAAAAATAAAACAAAAGAGAGGACTGGACTAACTGTCTAAAGGTCAGACGCAAGTTCCCTGACTCAAAGGTTCAGTGATGATCTACAGTTATTTCAGCTTTGCTACTGTCAATGGGTTGCCTAATGTTTCCAGAGTCCTTATCCTATCTCCTGGGATGACTTTAAACGTTAGCTATAAAATACAGCCATGGGCTATAAAATATAGCATCCTCATGAAACAATGGCTGAAAAGTAAATTGGCATAATCCTTCTGTTGTATTATTTGATAGTACCACATTTGTAGAAATTCTATACTAGGAATTTATTTGAAGGAAATAAGCAAACATGTGCCAAATGTTTCTGTGAAAGGTTAACAGTACTTATTACCAACGATGGTTAACAACATACATGTCCAATAACAGGAAAATGTTTAATAACTATACGACCTTTATAAAATTAAACATCTTTTTTTTTTTTTGAGAAAGAGTTCTGCTCTTATAGCCCAGGCTGGAGTGCAAAGGCACTATCTTGGCTCACTGTAACCTGCGCCTCCTGGGTTCAAGCAATTCTCCTGCTTCAGCCTCCTGAGTAGCTGGGATTACAAGTGCCCATCACCACGCCTGGCTAATTTTTGTATTTTTAGTAGAGACAAGGTTTTGCCAGGTTGACCAGGCTGGTCTCGAACTCCTGACCTCTGGTGCTCTGCCCGCCTCAGCCACCCAAAAAGTGCTGGGATTACAGGCATGAGCCACCTTGCCCAGCCTAAACATCATTTTTAAGACTGCTTAATGATGTGCGAACATACTGACTATCAATGAGAATACAAAAGTAACACCATTTAGCATATGATAATTTGTCTTTAGAATATAACTATTTTGCAAATACAAATGCAACAGAGAAAAAAAAAGAGAAAGAAAAAAAAAGAATAAAAGAAAATGCACCTAAGGGTTAATTATAATTATCTCTGTGTGGCAAGGCAGAATTATGAGGGATCTTAACTTCCCTTTTTTATATTTGCATGACATAGACACAATTTTCTTCTTTTATAATAAATATGCTTTTTTTTTTTTTTTTTTTTAGACAGGATCTCACTGTGTCACCCAGCTTGGAGTGCAGTGGTGCAATCTTGGTTCACTACAACCTCTGCCTCCCAGGCTCAAGTGATACTCCCAACCTCAGCCTCCTGAGTAGCTGGGACCACACATGCGAGCCACCGTGCCTGGCTAATTTTTTGTATTTTTGGTAGAGATGAAGGTTTTACCATGTTGCCTATGCTGGTCTTGAACTCCTGACCTCAAGTGATCTACCTGCCTCAGCCTCCCAAAGTGCTGGGATTATAGGCATGAGCCACCAAGCCAGGCCTACTCTCTTATACTTTGGTTAACCTGACTCAACCAGTACCAGTATCTGGGACTGTTTACTGTTACCTAACTGCTTCAATATGTTGCATTAACAACATTTAGCAAGCAAGTCAAACAACCTTTTTTCATTTTTTTTTTTTTTTTGAGATGGGGTAGAGTCTCGTTCTGTTGCCCAGGCGGGAGTATTGTGGGATGATGTCGGCTCACTGTAGCCTCAAACTTTTGGGTTCAAGCTGTCCTACTGACTCAGCCTCCCAGTAAGTAGCTCAGACTACAGAGGTGTGCTTCATTTTTAT